TTACATCATCAATGGGGCCTTAAAACTATAAAAGGAATAAAAGCACTTAGTAATAAATACACATTATGTGCTGTACCACCACCGTTTAAAATAATTTTGTTCATATATGGACATTTACATATGTTTTCTATTTTTTTTTTAAATAAATTCAGTTCTTTTGAACCTTCTTTCCTCAGAGAAACCTGAAAAAAGTACTGTATCATGGTTTCCATAAAACATATTATATAATATAATAAATATATAAAAAAATATAATATAGCAGCACAAGCTTTTTTCAACATTGATAATATTAAGAAATGTTTCTGAAGAATCATGTGACACCGAAGACTGGAGTAATGCCTGCTGAAGATTCAATAAATTGCATTTTAAAATAAATGAAAATAAGAAATAGTTAATTGTAATAATATTTCACTGTTTTCACAGTATTTTTGTTTAAATAAATGCAGCCTGGGTGAGCATAAGACTTATAAATAAATAAATATAAAAAAAGAAAACAATCTATTACAAAATATTACAAACAATATTTATATTTATTATTTATAGAGTATATTTAAATATTATTTTGATTATATTTGTTGCCTATAAATTGCTGTTATTTATTATTTGCTTATTTTAATATTTTAGTTTTTTTTTTACATTTTGAAAACAGAAAATGTGCGCTATATATGTACATTTTTGTCATGTATTATTTCATTAGCCTACCTGTAGGGTGTTTACGATTGCCTAGCAACTTGTTGCATTAACCACTTATAAAAATCATCTATTGTACGATCACGTTTCATCTCGTTTACAAAAGCTTCAAACTCTGCTCTTCCAGTCAAAAATCACAAAGGCTGTGTCTTCGTACAGGCATCTGAATGAATGTGTTGAACCGAGAAGGCATGTGATTACGGATTGGTTTGGCCGCTAGCCTGCAGGAGCACTTGGTCTCTGGCGCTGAGTGGGTCAGTCCTGATTGTAATGGAGAGGTGTGAGCCAGTGTGTTTGTTGTCAGGACGAGAGGGGAGATGCTGGAGAGGGGGCGCAGAGAGACACTCAGCTTTGATTAAAGGGAAGTGGCCTCAGGTAGACCCACCCCGGCCACTCTGAGAGCCTCAACTACACCTGTCATCTACAGGAAAGAAAGAGAGAAAAAATGTCATATTTACATTATTGTCTGTCTTTTTCCTCACGTGCCACGAACGGTTTTGTAGCATTTGCTGTTGAGTGGAAATGCCTGTACATAGTAAGAAATGTGGATTAGAACACTTTATTCACAATATAAAAACATTACTGCAATAACCCACAGCACCCACATTAACCAGTCCCTGCTATATTGTTGCTGTGGGTAACTGCAGTAATGTTGTTATACAGTGAGTAAAGTGTTCTAAATGGTTTTAACGTGTTGCTATGCGGTCGCTATGTGGTTGCTAGGGTGCTGTGTGTAGTTGCAGTAACGTTGTTATTTGGTGAGTAAAGTGTTCTAAATGGTTTTAATGTGTTGCTATGCGGTTGCTAGGATGCTGTGGGTAATTGCAGTAATGTTGTTATACAGTGAGTAAAGTGTTCTAAATGGTTTTAACATGTTGCTATGTGGTTGCTAGGGTGCTGTGGGTAATTGCAGTAACATTGTTATATGAGTAACCTGTTCTAAATGGTTTTAATGTGTTGCTATGCATATGCGGTTGCTAGGATGCTGTAGGTAATTGCAGCAATGTTGTTATACGGTGAGTAAAGTGTTCTAAATGGTTTTAACGTGTTGCTATGTGGTTGCTAGGGTGCTGTGGGTAACTGCAGCAATGTTGTTATACAGTGAGCAAAGTGTTCTAAATGGTTTTTAATGTGTTGCTATGCATATGCGGTTGCTAGGATGCTGTAGGTAATTGCAGCAATGTTGTTATACGGTGAGTAAAGTGTTCTAAATGGTTTTAACGTGTTGCTATGTGGTTGCTAGGGTGCTGTGGATAATGACAATAACAGTGTTAAATGGTGAATGAAATGTTCTAAATGTTTTTAATGTGTTGCTATGCAGTTGCTAGAGTGTTGTCATGTGGTTGCTAGGATGCTGTTTGTAGTTGGAATAACATTGCTGTATGGTGAATAAGATGGTTTTAACGTGTTGTTACTGTATGCAGTTGCTAGAGTGTTGCTGTGTGGTTTCGACTAGGGTTGTTGTGGGTAGTTTCATTGCTATAAGCCTATGCGACTAAAGTGTTCTAAATGGGTTTTAATGTGTTGCTATGCAGTTGCTAGAGTGTTGCTAGGATGCTGTGGGTAGTTGCAATAGGTTGCTATGGTAATAAAACATTTGTTAATTATGTTGCTATGCAGTTGCTAGGTGGTTACTAGGGCATTGCTAAGATTTGTTGAGCTGTTTCAGGTGGTTTTCAACATGTTATAAGCTGTGTCTCATTTAGAAGGCTGCGCCCTCCGGAGGTCGCATTCGAAGGCTGCATACGTCATCGAGGCTGTCTCATTTCAGAAAAGCAAGTAGAACACTTCGAATGCGACCTTCTTTCACAGGAATTCGGAGGATGCATGAGGTGTATCCTTCGCTGCTACAGATAACCCACAATTCTTTGCGTCGCCGTAAACAACCGTTGTTAATTTGAAAAATGCCGGCGCCGGCAGATGTACACACGAGCGCAGATGTGGTGTTTACAACTTCGCCTCGGTAAAAACGGATAAACTTTGTTTTTAAAATCCTCCTCCTTTATTTTCTCTAACAGATGTCTGCTGTACGTACGCTGCAGCTCCTTTAACATTGAACAAAATAAAACAAGTAAAAGCATTTTTTTTTCAAATTACTTTCCAAATTTAGAAATAATTTTCCTTCATTTAAGTAGTGTGAGAGCGCAACGATGCTCTAAATGTGTTGGCATAGCAACGTGATACTTCCTGTTTCCTTTTCCGCCTGTCCTACGAAGGCCGTCTCGTTTAATTCTAGGTTGAGGACACTTCATATATGGATCCTACAGAGGATGCGACCTCCAGAGGATTCGACCTCCGGAGGGCACAGCCTTCTAAATGAGACACAGCAATAGTGTTGGTAGGTGGTGTTCTGAATGTTTCTTAACATGTTGCTGTGCTGTTACTAGGTGGTTGCTCAGGGCATTGCTACTGTAAGTGGTTGCTGTAGACTCATTCAGTACCCGAGTGTTTAATATATCGCAAAGAGGCTTCTATGAAGTTTTAATGTTGTGAGTTATTGAATAGTGTTGCTATGCAGTTGCTAATGTGTTGTGATTGGTTATTTAACATGTTGCGAGGTTGTTGATAAGTGGTTGCTATGGTGATCTAAATGGTTTATATGTTGTTATGCAGTCGGGTTGAGGTTGGCAGCTTGGGCATTGTTAGGTTGGTTGCCAGGGTGTTTTTAACAAGTGTTTTTTAGAAGTTGCCATAGTGTTGCTAAGTTCTGAATAGTTTTTATTGTGTTGCTGAGGTTGTTAGGATAGTGTGCTGTGGATGTTGAAGTAGAGTTGCTGTGCAGTTGCTAATAGACCAATTCGGTGTTTGCAAACAGTGATGATTTTTTTGTGGGTGGAGCCTATCTGGTGGCAGAAAATGACAGTTTTCAAATAGCAGTCTATGCAAGCCATGGAATAAAATAATAAAAAAGGTAAATTTGAGTGTATATTTTAAAATTCTGACCTTATGCTCGCAATTCTGAGATTAAATCTCATAATTCTGATAAGGAAAACAGCTCGTCATTCTTTCTTTTCCCCTCGGCTTAGAATCATGAGTTTATATCCCACACTTCTGGCTTTTTTCCCTCTGAATTGACAAACTCACTATTGTTGAGTTAAACAAGTTATAAAGTCCGAACTAGGAGATATAAACTTGCATTTGCAAGAAAAAAGGTCAGAATTGTGAGATAAAATAAATGTTATGCAAAATGTAAAATAGTAATAGGTTTGAATAGTATTTCATGCTGTAACTGTAGGGCTAATACAATACGTCCCCTATGAACTGCATATGTGAATATTATGTTCACCTATTGTTTAAATCAAATTTATGCATTAAAAGTAGAGTACTCATAGCAGTTTTCATCCATAGTCTGTCCATTTAAACGTCTGCATTTAGCTTCAATTAACGTCTTTGATGACAATATTCTTTAAAAATGATTTGCATTCCGATTCTGACATTGCAAAAATATTTTTTTCTCTTATTCCCTGGATTTTACCTGTTCCCTCCACTTGCTACCAGTGTTTTTCTGCCACCACTATGTGCGTGCAACTGTGACGTCTACTCCAAATTGGTCTATACGTTCTGGTTTGTTTTAAACATGGTTGCTAAGATGTTTGGGGTGTTTTTTTTCTTTTTCTGGCTGTTTATTGTCTGTCAGGTAAATTAACACACTGTGCAGTAGGAATTACACAAAGTTTAACACATAATACATAAATATATCATGCATAGAAGTTTAATTCTCCGGGTTAAGGGTTGTTCAGATCACTAATACTAATTATTAGCAATAGTAATAGTGAATCTGCCTTGCAATCAAAACTAAATAACCCTCTTGAAATTCTCTAAAATCCTTTCGTGATGTTACATACACGGCTGCGTGGGAAGCTGACACATTGTGTGAATGCTTGTGCTTGTTTTTGTAGAAGAATTGCATATTTTGAAAGTGAATGAGTTTGAAGGTCAGCTGTCTGCATCTCTCCAGTGTGAAACGATGCTGCGGCATCTTCGGCATGTTAGTTTAGGAATGACAAGCATCTGCTAAACTCACTCTTGATTCTTTAAAGACAGCCTGTTGGCATGCTTTTGATTCGTCCTCAGAACTCTCTTAATTGTTCAGCTGTGAAACTTAAAGCCTGCTATTTTCCCAGAGCGCTGGAAATGTCCTTGCCGAGATTCACATTTGTTCAAGTACAAGAATGTGAGTGGGAGTGTTCAGACGCACACACACACACACATGCGCGCGCAAAAGCCATTGTGTGTTGCAAGTTATGCATATTATGAAACTACCTTAGCGCACCTTGACTATTTCTCTCTCTCTCTCTCCATCTATTCAGAGTATCCTGGCCTTGAATCCTCGGGTCCAGACTCACGCTGCGCTCCTCTCTACCACGACCAAGAAAATGGAGAAAAAACACTGGAAAAGAAACGCAGAGAAAGGCTGTGAGGTGCGTCTCCTCCATCACCCTCAACCCTCATCTTTTCACCTGCCCCTCAATAGGGCTCTCACTGACCAATCAGCCGGAGAAAAGAGGAGCTTAGTGTTGTTTCCAGATTTAGATGGGCTGTTTCCTGGCTCTGGACCCATCTGTTTAGCTTTCTTCGGTAGATGCTTTTTTAACCTTTCGTTTGGCCTTGTTGAGAAATCGGCAGCTGTGTTCGGCACCACAGCCGCAAAAACTCAAGCTGAATTTGTCCACATACATCATCTTAAACTGACACACTCAAGACCTTCAGATAGTCAAAACTCTGTCTTTAATATTATATTATATTATATTATATTATATTATATTAATTTGTCTTTACAAATTATAATATTAGGAATACTTTGAGTGAAAATACCAAGGCTGCCAGTACTTATATTGTCATTATCAAATTATCAATACCAATGGCTGTAGCTGCAACATTTTTGCAAAATTAAAATGAATTAAATAATTAAATGATTTATTATTGGCATTTAGCATTGTATTATCATTTTATATTTGAATGCCATTATTTATAACATTTATAGTTATAGTTATAAATATGATAGACCTAATTTGCAATATTTACAATAGACCTAAGCTGCAAATTGTCAGACTTCTGTTTTTGTTTATCATTTATTAACACCAACCTTTTAACTTTTAATTTAAATCAATTTAAATAATAAAACTTGCAGCAAATGTCACATAAATCCATTATGAAAAATGTCAAAATTAGATTTGTTTTTAATGTGAAATACGTCTAGACAAGCAGAGTGATGAATAGTTTCTCTTCTTCTATTTGCTGTTTTTTCCATTTTAAATCATATGATGCATGTTCACTTTTATACTAAATAATTTTTTTTTTTTTTACTTTTTAAACCCTCTTTAGAGTAAAAAAGGTAAAATTATTTTTAAAAAATGTAGAATTTAACATTATCTTAAAATATAAATTTGTATAAATATAATTATACAAAATATAATTTATATATACATTTATTATTTCATCCCCTTGAGCACTGAGGTGTGTTGCCACAACAGCGATGCAAGAAGGTATGTATATCGAACGCCTGCATTCAGGTCTTGCATGCACGTGTATTAAAAAATAAAAATACTAAAATGAACATACCAGTTAAATACAGGCTCACACATGCAGCTCTATTGACTCCCTGTGAGCAGGTATTTCATCATAAGACAAGAACTTGTGAGCTGCACTCGCTAACACACGCGCTCAGACAGTCGCTCAAACGTAATTATCTTACGATTCCAGGCACATGCCATCAAAGTCTCACGAATATCTCCCCAGACCAGCGTGCGACGGAAGGGTTTGTGTTTTTTGGCAGGTGGCCGCTATGCCTCGTCTGTCCTTTTAAAGGCAACTGCTTGTTTGATGTGGAGACACAACAAGATGGAGGTGTTTTGTAGGGGAGATTATCTACTCCCCGCTGACAGCACTGTTGCTAAGTACAGCTGCCTAATTCATCATTCTAATCAATGGGGATGGATCGCAGGCCTGATTTAATTCATAAAGGCTCTGTGCTATAGATTGAACATATGGCATGTGAGTTTACTGTATCAGGAGTATACATGTGTAGCAATTGCTGCGCTACGCTTGTGCAAATACACTACTGGTCAAAAGTTTGGGATAATTAGGAGCTTTTGAAAGAAGTCTCTTATGGTCACCAAGACTGCATTTATTCAAATAAATACAGTAAACAGTAATATTGTAAAATATTAAAAATATGTATTTTTTATGTAATTTATTCCTGTGATGCAAAGCTGAATTTTTGGTGCTTAATTCTTAATAATGGTTCTTATTATTATTAATGTTAAAAACAGTTTTTGCTGCTTAATATTTTTTTGTAGAAACCATGATCATTTTTTTTTCTGGATTCTTTGAATTGAAAGTTCAAAAGCTTTCTTTCTTTATTTCTTTCTTTCTTTCATCATTATTTTCCCTTCTTTCTTTCCTTCCTTCATTTCTTTTCATCCTTTTCTTCTTCTCTTTGCTTTATTTCCTTCCCTATCTTTCCTCCTCCTTTCTTTTGTTTATACGTTCATTTTCTCTTTCTTTCTTTCTTTCTTTCTTTTCTTCCCTTTCTCATCCTTTTCTTTTTCTTTTTCTTTCTTTCTTTCTTTCTTTCTTTCTTTCATTAATTGGTTTCCTTTCTACTTATATTGTCATCTTTCTTTCTTTCTTTCTTTCTTTCTTTCTTTCTTAATTATTTTCCTTTCTCATCATTATTTTCCCTTCTTTCTTTCCTTCCTTCATTTCTTTTCATCCTTTTCTTCTTCTCTTTGCTTTATTTCCTTCCCTCTCTTTCCTCCTCCTTTCTTTTGTTTATACGTTCATTTTCTCTTTCTTTCTTTCTTTCTTTCTTTCTTTCTCATCCTTTTCTTTCTTTCTTTCTTTCTTTCTTTCTTTTTTCTTTCATTTATTGGTTTCCTTTCTACTTATATTGTCATCTTTCTTTCTTTCTTTCTTAACTATTTTCCTTTCTCATCATTATTTTTCCTTCTTTCCTTCCTTCATTTCTTTTCATCCTTTTCTTCTTCTCTTTGCTTTATTTCCTTCCCTCTCTTTCCTCCTCCTTTCTTTTGTTTATACGTTCATTTTCTCTTTCTTTCTTTCTTTCTTTCTTTTGTTCCCTTTCTCATCCTTTCTTTCTTTCTTTTTCATTAATTGGTTTCCTTTCTACTTATATTGTCATCTTTCTTTCTTTCTTTCTTTCTTTCTTTCTTTCATTAATTGGTTTCCTCTCCTCCTTTTCTTTCTTTCTTTCTTTAATTGGTTCCTCTCCTCCTTTTCTTTCTTTCTTTTGCATGGTAGTGTATCATGGTTTCTACAAAATATTATACATCTTAATTATTTCAAACTTTTCATCTGTAGTGTTTATGCATTACTTTTTAAAGACATGTTTCTCATATTGACGTATGCGGCAAGAGACGAAATGGAAGTTTGTGTTGTTCTTTATGCACTATATATCAGAATTCGCAGGAAAGTCAATGCTAATGCCTCCGCATGCTATTTGCCTGCCTGTGTTCCATGCAATGCATTTCTCACAGTCAATTCACCAATAAATGTCAGAGGTTCGGAGAACGCTGATTCTGTGAAGGCGCTCGTGATTTTCCGTATGGATCGTCTGCCACACATTTATCTTCTTCATAAAGAAAAAGCAATGAATGTTTTAGTGATACTTAAAATAACTTTTGTAGGGATTTGGAAGCGGCATCATAATTGTCCTGCAGAATTGTGCCAGATGCCAGAGGGCCTGTAAACATAGTTTTTACAGGGAATCCATGAGTGCATGGGTGTCTATAGTTTCCAAATGAGTTCTCTAGAAAATACGATGGCATGTAGTCAGCTGTTATCTCGGTCCGTCAGGTCTCTGGTGCCCGCACATTTCCTCCCCTCCCCCTAAGGGCACCTGTAGCACACTGTCGGTGAGGAGATTTGGCTACACTTCCCTGCAGGCGATGTCTCGTATGGGAACGCGGTTCGAGTCGACGCTATTAGCTGACCGGGGCCTTACCAATATTGGTCTTTCTGCTTCAATAGCACAGGTTGAGGCTGGAGATAATCTACCAAACAAAAAACAAGTCCGAGTTTTACAGCAGCTGCGGAGATTGAAGTGGAAACACACTTGAAGTGCCCTTGTTTTTTGCCGATAACGCCACTGTTTACTGATGGTTTTCTTTTAATAATCTGTCTGTACGGTCTAATCCAATTTAATGAGTCTCCAGATTGCATTATGATCCCCAGGTCCTGTGAAGGGCAGGTATATCTGCCAGAAGCAAAAGCTCATGTTTTTTTCCCCACTGGTTTTAGGCAAGACAAGAAGGGGGGTGGAAAGTAGAAAGCAATGGGCACAAAAAAGAGTGGCTTTTCAAGTGTCTCAGTAGGTGCATTCACATGTTATTCAGTGTAAATGTACTAGCATTTGTTTAGAGATCATGTGTGCCTGACTCGTTGGTGAAATGCTGGCAAATCAGCTTAGGAGCAAATTCACTACACATTCGCTACCTTTATACTACCTTTACCTTTAAACATCTACCCAGGGCACAGGATGATAGGAAGACCCTGTAACCACGCAGATTGCTGTGTATGCGGCTTGTGACCTTCTTTCTAGTACTCCGCTCTGTTCCCTGTCATTGGCTGGGGCTTTATAGTTGGGACTGCTTCTAGTTTATTAGGCATCAGAGCTAATTGCTTTAATGAGACATGATGAAAGAGAAGGAAGGGAGAGAAAAAAACTTAATTTGAATCCTTTCTGGAATTCGTTAAATAATTCAAATTGGCTTTCATAATTCCTGTTCCGCGCCAGGTCACCGCTGAGGTCCAAAGATGGAGTGTAAACTGAATGTCTTAAATAGATTTTCCTTTATAGCCCAATCATCCTGCATCTTCCTTGAATCTAGTCTCGACCTCACACTCGTTAGATGAATAAATTACGGACAAATTACCGTAATTTGAGTGCTAACAGTTTTTTTCTAAGTGATATTAGGGTTCTTTGAAGCTTTTAAAATAATTATGTTTTTACTTAAAAAAATATCCTTTTTAGGAATTCTGATGTCTAATGGAGATAGTATCTATCTATCTATCTATCTATGTATTGTTCTATCTATCGTTCTGTCTATCTGTTGTTCTGTCTATCTATCTTTATATAGTAAATTCTGTATATCTTTTTATAGTTCAATCTGTCTGTCCGTTCATTCATCCAATCATCCATCCATCCATATCATTCCGTCATTCTATCTGTCGTTCTATCTATCATACTATAGTTCTATCTATCATTATATCTATTGTTATATAGTTCCGTCCTCCATCCGTCCATCTATCTATCTATCTATCTATTATATAGTTCCATCCATCCATCCATCCATTGTTACATCGATCTGTCTATCTGTCGTTCTATTATTCCATTCAACCATCCATCCATATCTTATTATTCTGATGTCATTTAAGTCTAATGTAAGGAATACATATC